AGTATATCCCTTTCATGGACTGGGTTAACAGTATGGTCATGGCTGAGAAGCTGAAACGCACCCTGGTCACAGAATAAAGATCAGTAACAGAAGGGCCACTCAGCGGTGCAACGTGTCCTCGTTTTTTTATGCAAAAATATGCAGTTTACTGGCCAGAAGGCGGAGCAGCCAGCCAGTACAGCGTGTTTATTGGCCAGAAAATGTCATTGACTGGCTAGGAAAATGGCGGCCAACATGCGTAATGCGACATGCACTAGGACAGAAACTTCAAAGCTTCCGACGTAAGTGCCCCTTCTATATGGATCTTTATTCTATGCCCTGGTGGGGGAGCTCAAACACGCCCTGGCGCCGTAGCAAATCTAAAAGAAAACGTCAACCAGTGTGGGCACGAAAAACCAGGTTGAATCGTTCCTTGTTATTCTAGATAGCTAAATACCAACTTATGTCACAATATAATATATAGTAGAACTTTACCAGACAAAAGCTAGGACAGCTTATTCCAGAATACATGCAATTTCGTTTTGAGCGTAGGCCCTTGGCCAGGATCCAATAAGTGGGATTTTATTGCATAAAAATATGGGCTGAAGGATGAAAATATTTCTTTCAGCTGTAGTTATGATGAAATTATGGATTTTATATTTCCTCCCAATTTATCTTTTTAATGACGAATTTCGTGTTGGTGCCTGGGAGATGTTTCTTTCATGGTTAAACGTCCTTCACTGGTGCAGTGCGGTTTCGTCGGTTGGAAAAGATGGTTGGAACGAATGGAAAAGTTGGTCCAAATCCAAGATTGGTATCTATAGAATATACTTAAGCGATGGATGGAACGCACAATTTAAGAAGTGCCAAACATATCTTGCATAGTTGATAGTATTCAATAAACATTAAAAATTCAATCAGAGGTTTTCCTAGGAGTTTATATAAATATCCCTTAATTTAAAGGCAGGGACAAACTGGGAAACATTGTTGCGCAAAGATATTTGTCATATTTATATTTGTCTTACCAATGTTTCGGTATGTCATTACCAGCGTCGGGAAACGGGGAAAGAGTGTTTCATCAAATGTTTCTGAATTTGGTAGGAAATATTTTTGCTTTCTGGGAAGGAAATTTGTTTCTGCTTTATACTAGAAATTCTCTAGGGAAGAGACGCCTCTTTTGTGTGTTTCTCTTTCAAAAATTTCGGTGTTTTATCGTCAATACATCGCTTAATTGGCAAGTTAACAATATCGGATGACATTTCAGGTCTGTAAAAGAAAATTATGATCTTTTCTCCAATGCTTTTCGGTTTTCTTCCTGCTCGACAACAATTATGTTTGTTGTGTAGAGCGAACTGATGCAAATCTGATTATGATGTCAATGCTTTCTCGTTTTTACTTTTTTTCCATGTATTACAGCCTATAATCCTTTATGTACTAGGTAAAACACGAGTAGGAGTGTTTTATATCTGATAAAACACGACAACGAGTGTTTTCAATAGTTTAAAATACGACTACAAAAGATGCCGTCTCATTAGACAGTATTCTTTTATATAATTAGAACACCAATTAGGATGAACAATTATATAATGCCACATATGTTTTATTAGATATAAAAGTCACTCCACGTGACGTATTATGGCTGACATGATTTGCCACAAGGTTTATGAATTATTAATGAGTATTTTTACAGCTGTGTAAAGCATTTTGATCTGGAATAAAGGGGTCACTTGTTATATTCAAACTTTCAACCTGTGAACGAGTATGACACCACTTTTCGTGTGTAATTTCTAGATCACCAATGGCAAGTGCCATAACTACCACTTCAAGTACCGGTATATCAGATGAAGAACGAAGATGGGCTGTGGTTGGCGTTTGTATTAACAAAGTTCTTACTCCTCAGTTAAGAAATGTTCTTGCAACCGAGATACAGAACTGGTATCATCTGCTGTGTCGACCACCCGATGAAATTCACAAGCAAGTGTTTTCCAAACATCAAAAGAAACTACCTCCATCAACGTTCTCTTTAAAATACGAGAACATCAACAACAACAATGTCCACAAGTCGCCCAAAGCTTATGACTTTAAAGTTAAAGATCCTTTGTCTTTGGCAAAATTGTTTGTCCAACCTTTCATGGCAAAATTTACTGCTTTTGACCAAACTATGGACATGTCTGCAGTTTTGGCAATTATGTGCGAAGCAGATCCATTTGTAACATCTGGCGCTGCAGTTCAAGCAAAGATAGTAAGGTCAAACATCAGAAATAAGTGGGCCCATTGTAACTTTTCGGATTGGACCAAACTCGCATTCATGGACGCCTTTCAAGACATGGACTCTTTAGTGAAGAAGATGAATCTACCACCAATTGATGAACAAGCATTGTGTGATGATCTGGTTAGCTGGAGGGATAAAGGTATCAGTTGAAGTATATATTGTATATAATATTGTGTATTAGTAGATTCATACTACGTACAGTAACTGTAGTATACTATTGCAAATGCTGTAATTTGATTGGCTACTTTTCTCGCTATCTATTCCTCGATAGATATCGAGTAGCAAAACAATAATTTTCCCGGCGCATTTTTTTTTAAATGGTGCCAACTCGCGTAAAGTAAGGTAAATTGCTGATTATGCATAAAATAACTAATATGCCTGGCAGAAATTAAATATTCTTATTTCCTAAAAAAAATTATCATGGGGTTAAAAACTATGCTTAATTTAATGTAAATATTGTTGATTTCATAAGGATTATCATTGTTTTCTTTAAATATAATAAATTTTATTTCACTTACCTCCCACGAAAACGCGATTTCAGCCATATTTTGCTGTCTTGTTTGCTTTTTATCGCCGAATCACGCAAATATCATCCAGTTATTGTACTTTTGCATAATCATAAATGGCTGAAGAAGATTTCAAAGAAGGTTTCATCCACTTTTGAAACAGTGCAGTGTATATTATCTTCGATAATGTGTCCTTCGATATCTCGTCAAATTGCCGCCATTTTAATGGCTCGCCGCTTCTCTGCCCGATAAATGCCACTTCTTCGTTTTCATATGTATTTAGATTACATTATGCAAGAGTACTTCATTGTAGAATAGTCCCAATCCAAAAATTGGAAATATTATTTGTACTTGGGAGGAAAAAACCTCCCAGTACAATTGTCCTGTTAGAATTCAAAAGAAATAATTTAAAAGTCACGCGCAAGTTCGCGAAAACACCTCGTGGGTTACATAACAGGGGGGGGTGAATATTTTCACGAAACGTTTGTTCGCCACCACAGGCCACAGCAACCTAACTAAATGTATTATATTTTTTGTATTTTTATAATTGATGATAAATATACACAAATATTTATTGTTTTTATCAAAAATCACAAATATACAATAAATATAATATATATGATATATATATATTATATATATATATATATATATATATATATATATATATATATATATATATATATATATATATATATATATATATATATATATATATATATATGCATCAAATTGAAAACTTTGAAAGGATTACAACAAAGGTATCACACACAGACAGTAAATCATGATTTGAATAGTAGGTATCTACAATTTCGACAACGACTAGGTCATTCCTGTTGATATACACGTGATCTAAAATTGAACCATAGTCTGTTTTAGGTACTTTAACAAATTGGTAGAATCCCAACTTTCATATACTGGACAATATCGTGGTTTGGAAATTGGAGAAGATCAATATTAAAATCTCCCAGAAAAATTGTCAGTATGTTTCTTTGGAGTTGGTTGACAAGATTGTGGAACTTTTCATTGAATGTTGAAGGGCTCATGGATGGTGGTCTGTAGATGGATACAATATTAACCTGGGTTGTATCTTTAGTGATAGCTAGTGCAAGGTATTCCAGACCTTGGATTTCTAAATTGAAGCGCAATGGTGCGAGTTCTGTTGAGGCGAATGTCATCAATCCACCTCCTCTTCCCAGTAACAAAGGTCTGTCTGCTCTGAAACATCTGGTTTCTGGTAGGATCTGTTCATTTTCCCGCAAAAGTTGTCCTTCTTTTAAGAATGTCTCAGTAAAGCAAAAAACGTCGGTGGAATTTAGAATTGGATCAATTTTCAGGTCTTGTAGATGCTCCAAATAAGATCTGATATTGAGGAGCCGAATTGTTAACCATTCATCATGAGGGGACTCGGTAAGTGGTTGAATTGATGGTATTGGGTCCTGTTGGAGACGGGCCATTTCTGTCTGTACTGAAGGATTAACTAGGAATGCCGTGGCATCAAATCCTAAAAGATGTAGGCCTTGTTCGGTCTTTACTCGACTTACAGCAACGTAAGTTTGACCAAGCATAAAGCGACCCCTTCCTTTCATTGAAACGACAATTGAATCCAAAGTCTTACCTTGAAGTTTGTGAATGGTGCACGCCCATGCAAGGGTCAGTGGGAATTGTGTACGTATAGCTTGTACCGAGCGTCTCCCTCTTCCTGTGTAACCCATCAGAAACATCGATATTTACAATCAGCATGATTCTCGCTCCGACGGCTACCGACACAACCTCGCGTAATCCACCAGTTTCAGATGGCTTAGTGGAAATTACAACGTCAATCAGACCAGTGTTAACTTCCTTCTTATCGATAGCCTTTATATGAAATAGTTGTAAGTTTTCGTAAATGACCGGAGTTGTATTCGTCCACGTCTTTGTTTGTTTTAGACACATGCAGCGACTCTGTTGGGTATGAAACGTCGGATTTGGGAATCTCTCTAGATTTGAACAAGGCAATATCTTCTTCTGAACAGTTGGCTATTCTTACATTGATGAGTACCTGAGCAAAAACTTGGTCTTCTCGTTGACGCATGTTCTCCGTTAACTCAAATGTACGGAAGTTTTCTTCCCACAGGGAACCATGTAGTCTTGCGTAACTGAAAATAGAGAAACGTAACAATCTTACAATCAAAGCATAGAATAAATTGGTGTGAAGTATGTTGGTAACTATAATCTTATTAAATTAATTACATTAGAAAGTTAATGTGGACAATTTTAGACAATTTCTCATGTTTGTTTCACAAACCCGTCTGATGGAAGGCCAAAGACATGATTTTGACCAACAGATTGTAGCTGATACAAGTCTCCAACGGCCAATATGCTTATTCCTCCAAAGTGATCTGATTTTCCAGTGATGTCTTGCAGGCGACGATGAATGTGATAAAGCAAATCTGCACCCACCATGGAAACCTCATCAATGACCAGAAGCTTTAATTTTCCTAAGCGTGATCGTAGAGTATTCAGTCTCTCGCTGCTTGCTGGTTGATATTGGGATTTATTGTTTGGGCCATAACTGAGGCATAGAGCTGAGTGCAGGGTCATTCCTTCAATGCCAAAAGCCGCGGTTACAGTGAAAGCGGTCAATAAAATTGGAAGTTCGTCTGGTTCAAAATATCCTGACAACATTTTCAGTAGCTTCATTGTTTCATAATACACTAATTTTATTACATGGCTTTTCCCGACCCCACCTGGTCCACTCAGAAAGATTTTGTACACTGGAGATGGTAAGTCACGTTTCAACGCAATAATTGTATCTTTGCACCATTTGCGATGAATTTTAAGAACTTGGAGTTGCTGTTTGTTTAAAGAGCGCATCATAGCTCTATATTCTTGAACAGTCATCAGTGTTTTACCAAGTTGGGCTGAATAACGTTGATGAAGTTCAGAGCGATTTGCAGTTGTAGAGTTTGAAACTAAATCGACGTTTTCATTGGGCTCATTGTCTCGTCCAACTTCTCTCTCTGTTACTGTTCCTTGATCTTGCTGCTGTGCTTGTTGATATTCAGCGTTTGGGGCAACAGTATCCCAAATATTCTCTGGCGGCCCCCTTCTTTTGAAACTAAATCGACGTTTTCATTGGGCTCATTGTCTCGTCCAACTTCTCTCTCTCTCTGTTACTGTTCCTTGATCTTGCTGCTGTGCTTGTTGATATTCAGCGTTTGGGGCAACAGTATCCCAAATATTCTCTGGCGGCCCCCTTCTTTTGAAACTAAATCGACGTTTTCATTGGGCTCATTGTCTCGTCCAACTTCTCTCTCTCTCTGTTACTGTTCCTTGATCTTGCTGCTGTGCTTGTTGATATTCAGCGTTTGGGGCAACAGTATCCCAAATATTCTCTGGCGGCCCCCTTCTTTTGAAACTAAATCGACGTTTTCATTGGGCTCATTGTCTCGTCCAACTTCTCTCTCTCTCTGTTACTGTTCCTTGATCTTGCTGCTGTGCTTGTTGATATTCAGCGTTTGGGGCAACAGTATCCCAAATATTCTCTGGCGGCCCCCTTCTTTTGAAACTAAATCGACGTTTTCATTGGGCTCATTGTCTCGTCCAACTTCTCTCTCTCTCTGTTACTGTTCCTTGATCTTGCTGCTGTGCTTGTTGATATTCAGCGTTTGGGGCAACAGTATCCCAAATATTCTCTGGCGGCCCCCTTCTTTCTAAATCGTCATAAGCTCTGGCAATTTCATCAGCGTTCTGACTAAACATGGCTTCATTGGAACGAATTATTTCTTGAATATGTTGGAAATGTTCTTTAAAGATTCAAAATTGGCTTTCAAATCTATGTCTTCGTTTCGCCATGGATAATACAGCATAATTAAATTTCTGTATTTTTCTTCTCCTTCAGATTTTTCTTTGTGGAACCTATATATATTAAAGTGTATATGAGACATCTCGAATGTAAATTCTATGGGCATGCTTATTTACAAAATCGTAGTCTAAGTATTCTTCCTTGAACTGTGTTTACTATTCCTATATTCTTTTTAACCTACCTTATGACACAGTGCCGTTTCCGTTTTCTCATACGGCCAAGACCATTCTTTAACTTTATTGTACTGGAGACAGATTGGTGGATTGTGCTGTTATCGTCAATGGATTCATGATCGCTTTCTTTACCGTCTGTCGTGTAGGTTGCTGCAAATTCAGCAAGAGACATATTTTCTAATTCATTTGGACGAGATGCGTATCTATCAAGAAGTGATGTGCAGAAAATGTCTTCATCATTGTCATCCATATTTTCTAAAATGCTTTGAGGCTTCAGCATTGACACTCTTTTGCTTCTTGGTGCTGTGTTTAAAACACTACTTTTCTACTTGTGTATTTTAAAGGTAGAGAAAGTAATCTGAATGCGGCTTCTTGCGCACTGACTTCTCTGTTGTTAAGAAATACCGATCCAAGCTTTTTTAACTTGCTTTTTACATCATCTTCTCTGCATTCATTTGCAACTTTCTTAAGTAATTCACTCATTGCTCTTTCGCTCTTCATCATATAACTTGTGATATACATGATACATGAGTAAGTGTTGAGTTCGTTGTAGTTGTCATTATTATATAATTGTCATTCTTTATTACAAGAGATACACACTCTGTGGAAGCATACAAGAACTACGTTTTATCTTACATCAAGTGCGTTTATGTTACAATGTGCTAAATTACAATTGGTCAGAATAATTGTTAATCATGCTATATATGGTATTACAGGAAATATATTGTATTCATTGTCTTAATCATATCATTGGTTAACTGAACTAAAATCACAACTAATTACATAATTATTATATGAAGTATTATGAGCTTAATATAACACCCCCACTTGCTCTTATGCTGAAATAAATGGTCCAAACTTATCTAACTTGACTTTACTAACTGGCTTTGTAAAGATATCTGCTACATTCTCGTCCGTTGGAATATATGCTAATACTATACTACCTGTTCGAACTTCACTTCGAATGAAATGATACTTCACATCGATATGTTTTGATCTTTTATGGTACATAGGGTTCTTAGCTAAATTGATTGCACCTTGGTTGTCACCATTTACCAGAACACTATAACTTACCTGAACAATATTTAAATCAACACACAACTGCTTTAAGAACTTGGCTTCCTGTACTGCATCTATCAGTGCCATATACTCTGCCTCACATGTGGACAGTGCAACAGTTGGCTGTTTTCGACTTCTCCAAGAAACTAAAGGACCCTCGTCCAACAACTGAAAACCGTAGCCAGATATGCTACGCCTGTCACAAACATCACCTCCCCAATCTGGGTCACAAAACCCAATAAGTTTTAGAGTGCTATCAGATTTCCTGAATCTCAATCTTTGCTCAATTGTGCCTTTCAAATACCTTAGAACATGTTTTGCAGCAATAAGGTTAGATTCAGTGGGTTTCGACATGTTTTGGGAAAGCTTAGTGACTATATAACACAAATCAGGCCTTGTGCCTGTCATCACATATATTAAGCTCCCAACTATCGCTCTATAAAGAGTTGGATCTTTTAATTCAGGTGATTTCGTATCCACAACCTTATCTAAACCTAGTACCGTTGGGGTCACCTTTGGCTTGCATTCTGCCATGCCAAACCTTATAACAGCAATTTCTCAATATATTGCTTTTGGCTCATTTCAATTGCACCTTCTGAACACTTGAATTCTGTACCTAGGAACCATGACAATACCCCTAGGTCCTTCATTCTAAATTTATTACTTAAAGAATCTTTCACACTCTGCAAAAGAATTTCATGGCTAGCAGAAATTATGAGATCGTCAACCCAAATGATGATAATTGTACATTCATTTGTACCACCATTTCTAATGTAAACACATGGGTCAGCAAGTGATTGAGTGAAGCTCTCCTTCATAACGTAATCATGTAGCATGTTGTTCCAATTGCGCCCACTCTGCTTAAGACCGTACAAAGACTTATTTAATTTGCACACCAACCTCTCACCATTTTGTCCTACCCTTTCGTAGCCTTCTGGCTGTTCTATGAAAATCTCACAGTCTATTGGGGCATTTAAATAGGCTGTTTTTACGTCCATCTGATGAACAAGCATATCATTCTGAATTGCCTGCTGTAATAAAATACGAATAGAGCTCATCCGAGCGGTTGGGGAAAAGGTTTCATGGTAATCAATACCAGGAATCTGCGAGTAGCCTTTTGCTACATAACGGGCTTTGTATGTTTCAGCCTTATCTGGTCCTGTCTTAACGGTATACACCCATTCTCTGCCCACTACCTCACGGCCCTTTGGGAGTGGGACCAACTCGAAAGTTTCATTG